CTGAACAGGCAGGTGGTTCTGGACTGATTCTATACAATAACAAATTCATATATAACTTAGAATTAATGGATGGTATCATAATGGATGTTAACAAAATGAATTTTACGTAATGGGTGTTAACGTAATCACTTTTAACGTAATGCATTACAAACTGTAAGAACAAATCATTGTACAATATGGATGGAATTGATCGATTGATCTGTATTCATGCACTCTACGGATTCTGAGGAAGAATAAATATATATATACAAGGTGAAATTAACAGCAAAAACATTTGGTGTGCACTCAGATCATTACTGTCAAATTCTCAGAATACGGAGGGAACGTGAATACAAAAAAAATTTTTTTTTTTTTGAAAAACTAATCAGTTAATAACAAACAGTTGACAATTTCCTTCATCTCGGACATCTAGTTATACAGACTATGTACATTTAAACCCAATTCTGCGAGGGTGAGGTTTACATATGCAGAATGGTTATCATCTCTGGGAGGATCGAATTCCTCTGCAATGGCTAACACATGCCTTGACTGAGGGAGACTTGAACGAGTATCTACAAAAGATACTTGTGGGTTTCTCATTACTTGTCGAGTACGCAAGGAGTAACGACATTCAGGTTGGTTATGTAACTGAGTATTTGAGGTAGAGGGTACAGAGTCAAGAGGATTTTCAGCATCTGTTACATTAGTCTGGGTAGCAATATCATCAACATCGCATACTAATTTCATATGATCTAAATGCGATTCTTTGTACTTACCAGTACTAATTTCTCTAACCTTATACTTATTGCCAGAGATATGTTCTACAACTCGATAAGGTCCGACAAACTTTTGATCGAGCTTAGGCATTGCGGATGTTTTGTTGAAATTTGTCAGCATTACTCTCGAACCTACTTTGACTTTTGATGGCTTAGCACGGCTATTAGTTACTCTAGTAAATTCTGCTGTTGATTTGTGAAGTGTTTCACGGATTCTTCTAAAAACACTTTGAGCCATGCTGGTACGAGTTGCTACGAAATCATCAGGGTTGTAATTAGGTTTCGGAGTAGAATATAACAACTCATAGGGTAAACGCTTGTCTACACCATACAATGCATAATGTGGAGTATCACCTATGGAAGCATTGTAAGCAGAATTTATGGCACATTGAACATCTGGTATGACTTCATCCCAAGTTTCACTATTGGGGTTGATAGTGGCTCTCAAAACATCAAGTACTTTCTTATTGGTTCGTTCGGCCTGGTCATGGACCGGGCCGCGGGGGCGTTGATCCCCGGAATAACCTCCAGGTAACCTCCAGGTAACCCATTGCTGGCAGGATGATGAAGAACAATGGTGGATTTAGAGATCTTGTATAAAGTACACAAATTTTCAAGAATCTCATTACAGAATTCACCTCCTTTATCTGTTACTAAGGACTTAGGGGTGGTATGCCTGCAGATAATGCGTTCTTTAAACGCTTTAGCTACTGTCTCTGCAGTCTTATCTGCAATAGGAACTCACAATATCTGGTGAAATGGTCTACCATAACACACAAATGTTTGTTGCCTTGGAGGGAACATTTAAAATTGGTTAACAAGTCAAGGGCAACTCTTTCCCACGGTTCGCTAGTGGTTGGGTACACTTGGATTGGATTAGGACCATTGATATTCCCTTTATGTTGCATACAGACACTACATTTCTTAACATACTCGGAAATGTCAGTTGCCATACGTGGCCAAAAGTATTTCATTCTGGCTTGTTTCACAGAACGATCCATACCAGGGTGTGCAACACCTGGTGCATCATGAACTAGCTGTAGAGCTACGTTCACTAGTGACTGTGGAATTACTAACTGGTAAACTCTTCTGCTTGGAGTACCCAACTCGGCTGTTCGATACAGTAATTCTTGGCTTATTACAAAGTCACTAATGGGTGCTGGTGGCTTCACAGTAAGAATAAGATCTTCCTGGAGGAATCAGCAACTATGCTGACACCCTTACCCTCCTCTCCTCCAGTGTCGTCAGGCCGATTTCCTTTATCCTTTCTTCATAAGACATTCCCCTTAGCTCTGGAACTAACCTTCTCGCAAACCTTTGCACTTTCAATAAATTTCTTGACTTGCTTGATCAAGTGCGGCTTCCAAACAGGTGCTGCATACTCCAGTATGGGCCTGACGTACACGGTGTACAGTGTCTTGAACGATTCTTTACTAAGGTATCGGAACGCTGTTCTCAGGTTTGCCAGGCGCCCATATGCTGCAGCAGTTATCTGCTCGGTGTTATACTCACCCCAAGATCTTTGTCTTTGAGCGAGGTTTGCAGTCTTTGGCCACCTAGCCTATACTCCGTCTGCGGTCTTCTTTGCCCTTCCCCGATCTTCATGGCTTTGCATTTGGCGGGTTTAAATTCGAGAAGCCAGTTGCTGGACCAGGTGTCCAGTCTGTCCAGGTCTCTTTAAAGTCCTGCCTGTGTGTGTGTGTGTGTGTGTGTGTGTGTGTGTGTATGTGTGTGTGTGTATGTGTGTGTATGTGTGTGTGTGTATGTGTGTGTGTGTATGTGTGTGTATGTGTGTGTGTGTATGTGTGTGTGTGTATGTGTGTGTATGTGTGTGTATGTGTGTGTATGTGTGTGTGTGTGTGTGTGTGTGTGTGTGTGTCCTGGGTAATGAGCACCAGCTCCTTCTCTTCCTCCTCCTTCCTTTCCAAATAAATATTACTCTAGCATTAAAACAAGTGTTTATCGGCGTCTCCGTGACCTATTTGAGTGTTCCATTTCCAAATGTGTCTCAGATGTCAGAGTAAATAGTTTGCCCTTGTTCACACCCTCTGTGTCCTGGAGGATATTGTATGTCGTGATCAAATGTCCCTTGTGATTTTTTTTCTTGTCTGGTCACGAGAGCTATTTCGTTCAATCTTCGCAGCCTCTGTTTTCTCAGCTCCGAGATCAGCTGATTTATGGTGACACTACAAATATCGGCTGATTTACGGTGCCATTATAAACACAGATCAGCTGATTCATTGTGACACCATAAACGAAGATCAGCTAATATATAATAGCATAAAATAATATGAATCCCGTTGGCATAAACACGAGTTAGTGGTTGTTTTTACTGTAAAAAGCAACTGAAGCATCCTCCATCACTAGCTTTATTAATAACTAAGTTAGCTACGCTGGGTAAAATGAACACGTGTCAATGGTCGATAATAACCTACATGGAGATAGAAACACAGGAGATTGAGTGGTCTGTATATTTCAACCTCCTTCTGAAGACGATCCCAGAAGGGGGTCGAAATATGCAGCAAATATGAGCAATATATATATATATATATATTTTTTTTTTTTTATTATCACACCGGCCGATTCCCACCAAGGCAGGGTGGCCCGAAAAAGAAAAACTTTCACCATCATTCACTCCATCACTGTCTTGCCAGAAGGGTGCTTTACACTACAGTTTTTAAACTGCAACATTACCACCCCTCCTTCAGAGTGCAGGCACTGTACTTCCCATCTCCAGGACTCAAGTCCGGCCTGCCGGTTTCCCTGAATCCCTTCATAAATGTTACTTTGCTCACACTCCAACAGCACGTCAAGTATTAAAAACCATTTGTCTCCATTCACTCCTATCAAACACGCTCACGCATGCCTGCTGGAAGTCCAAGCCCCTCGCACACAAAACCTCCTTTACCCCCTCCCTCCAACCCTTCCTAGGCCGACCCCTACCCCGCCTTCCTTCCACTACAGACTGATACACTCTTGAAGTCATTCTGTTTCGCTCCATTCTCTCTACATGTCCGAACCACCTCAACAACCCTTCCTCAGCCCTCTGGACAACAGTTTTGGTAATCCCGCACCTCCTCCTAACTTCCAAACTACGAATTCTCTGCATTTATATTCACACCACACATTGCCCTCAGACATGACATCTCCACTGCCTCCAGCCTTCTCCTCGCTGCAACATTCATCACCCACGCTTCACACCCATATAAGAGCGTTGGTAAAACTATACTCTCATACATTCCCCTCTTTGCCTCCAAGGACAAAGTTCTTTGTCTCCACAGACTCCTAAGTGCACCACTCACTCTTTTTCCCTCATCAATTCTATGATTCACCTCATCTTTCATAGACCCATCCGCTGACACGTCCACTCCCAAATATCTGAATACGTTCACCTCCTCCATACTCTCTCCCTCCAATCTGATATTCAATCTTTCATCACCTAATCTTTTTGTTATCCTCATAACCTTACTCTTTCCTGTATTCACCTTTAATTTTCTTCTTTTGCACACCCTACCAAATTCATCCACCAATCTCTGCAACTTCTCTTCAGAATCTCCCAAGAGCACAGTGTCATCGGCAAAGAGCAGCTGTGACAACTCCCACTTTGTGTGTGATTCTTTATCTTTTAACTCCACGCCTCTTGCCAAGACCCTCGCATTTACTTCTCTTACAACCCCATCTATAAATATATTAAACAACCACGGTGACATCACACATCCTTGTCTAAGGCCTACTTTTACTGGGAAAAAATTTCCCTCTTTCCTACATACTCTAACTTGAGCCTCACTATCCTCGTAAAAACTCTTCACTGCTTTCAGTAACCTACCTCCTACACCATACACTTGCAACATCTGCCACATATATGAGCAATATATATATATATATATATATATATATATATATATATATATATATATATATATATATATATATATATATATATATATATTTATATATATAATATATATATATAAATATATATAATAATACATATACATATATATATATATATATATATATATATATATATATATATATATATATATATATATATATATACACTGTAAATTTATCTGATATATTTTCACATAAAAGAAATAAAACATATTGCTATATTACGAGCAATATAAAAGGTCTATTGAGGGCTATAAAATGTTCCAGAAAGCTTAATAAAAGAGGGAGATAAAAGTTAAATAGATCATATAAAAAAAGAGGGACACTAAAGAAGTAATGTAATAAAGTTACCTTGCGTGAAGACTGCTCTGGTGTTGCTGGTCATGGTCAGCACATGGGCGTTGTGCTGGCCTTGGCTGCCTCCCACGCCCACACTGAGGCTCCTGTGAGCGCCCTCTCCGCCCATCCACGAGTCCACACCCACCCGTGTGCCCGTGGGAGCCACCACTGTCACCAGGCGACCTGTTTCATCGTATTCGTAGACGTACGTCAGGCGACCTGGCGACGAGTCCAGGTAGTGTGTGTTAGATACTGATGGCTTTCCTCTCTCTCTCTCTCTCTCTCTCTTCACACATATCAATCAATCAATCAAGTTTATTCTCTATAAAGATTACAATGCGGGGTTTACAGATTTTGGATATTGTGTGGTTTACATGTTATAAAATACTAATTACAGAGGGGGCCACTAGGACACCTAGCATGGCTAGGCATTTCGGGCAGACTTAGATTAATTCTTAACTCTAAATTAATACTTATTACGGAGTAAGTTGGTATTAAGGCTAAGTGACTACAATATAATTTGTGAGTTTAGCAATGTAAATGCTTTTGTTTTGGCACAATACACAGGTTCTATATTGTAGTATCACAGGCAAACTTATGACTAGTTAGGATTCATTATTTTATGATTAAGATTCGTATTTCCGTGATTATAGTCAAGTGGGTGAGTGTATGTGTGAACAGGTGGTTTGTATGTAGACAATACACATACACATTATATGTATGTGTGTGTGTGTGTGTGTGTGTGTGTGTGTGTGTGTGTGTGAGTACTCACCTGGAGAGGTGGAGGCGACGAGGAGGCCGGTGTCGTCATCATAAGTGAAGTCATACACTCGTCCAGGTCTCTCAGAGAACTTGGTCATCAGTCCCAGGCGACTGATCCTCACCGCGAACTTCTCGCCCATAGTGTTCTCGATCTGCGGGAGCAGCCAGAGGGTGAAGTGAGGGCGTAACAAGGGTGTAATGAGAGAGTGAAGTAAGGATGTAATGAGAGGGTGAAGTGAGACGGCAGAATTACGAAGGGGATTCTGACAAGTTCCCAGGCCCCAGAATAGGTCCCCAGGCCTCGAAAAGCCCCCCAGGCTCCCAAAAAGGTCCCAAGGCTCCTGGTAATGGATTTCTGGTTGAAGAAGTGATGAGAGTGTGTAATAAGAGTATAGCCAAGACGTAATCAGTGTTATATGTATTAGTAGGTCGAAGTATGGAAATATTTGCGATTGCTCTCTCTTTCTCTTTCCTTCATTTCCTGTAACTAGCAAAAAGGAGGCGGTAGGAACTAGTTAAGCTATGCCTGGACTGGTAAAAATATGCCTGGAAGTAGAAAATAATCTGCCTGGAACTTGTGATGAATCTGCCCGGAACTTACAAGGCGACAAAACACGGGAAGTTGGAAAAGGTCGTCTGTATGATGCTCGGGAGAATATCGTGTCAAAAAGGTTTTAATATTGAAATGATACCGAAAATAGTTTTCACATCTCTGTCAAACATACAATAACCTGGATTCAGCCGACACACACATTTAAAATATAGCTGACAGATGCTTGATACATATGACACTTTTCATTACTGACACACACACACACACACACACACACACACACACACACACACACACACACACACACACACACACACACACACAAACACACACACACACAAACACACACACATGTACACACACACACACATACACACACACACATACATACACGTTCCCATTTTCAAAAAAGGAGACAGAAAAGAGGCACTAAACTATAGACCTGTGTCATTGACGTGTATAGTATGCAAAATTATGGAGAAGATTATCAGGAGGAGAGTGGTGGAGCACCTGGAACGGAACAGGAGTATAAATGCCAACCAGCACGGATTCACGGAAGGCAAATCCTGTGTCACAAACCTTCTGGAGTTTTATGATAAAATAACAGAAGTAAGACAAGAGAGAGAGGGGTGGGTTGATTGCATCTTCTTGGACTGCAAGAAGGCCTTTGACACAGTTCCTCACAAGAGATTAGTGCAGAAGCTAGAGCATCAGGCGCATATAACAGGAAGGGCACTGCAATGGACCCAGAGAATACCTGACAGGGGCAACAACGAGTCATGGTACGTAATGATGTATAAACAGTGGGCACCTGTGACGAGCGGGGTCCACGGGGGTCGGTCCTAGGACCAGTGCTTTTTTTGGTATAATGTGAACGACATGACGGAAGGGTTAGACTCAGAAGTGTCCCTGTTTGCAGATGATGTGAAGTTAATGAGGAGAATTAAATCTGATGAGGACCAGCAGGACTTCAAAGAGACCTGGACAGACCTGGACACCTGGTCCAGCAAATGGTTCTCGAATTTAACCCTGCCAAATGCAAAGTCATGAAGATGGGAAAGGGGCAAGAAGACCACAGACAGAGTATAGGCTAGGTGGCCAAAGACTGCAAACCTCACTCAAGGAGAAAGGATCTTGGGGTGAGTATAACACCGAGCATGTCTCCGGAAGCAACATCAATCAATAACGGCGCAGCATATGGGCGCCTGGCAAACCTGAGAACGGCCATTCCGACACCTTAGTAAGGAATCATTCAAGACACTGTACACCGTGTATGTCAGGCCCATACGGGAAAGTATGCGCACCTGTTTGGAACCCGCACTTGATAAAGCACGTCAAGAAACTAGAGAAAGTACAAAGGTTTGCAACAAGGTTAGTTCCAGAGCTAAGGGGAAAATGTCCTAATGAAGAAAGATTAAGGGAAATCGGCCTGACGAACTGGAGGACAGGAGGGTCGGGGGAGACATGATAACGACATATAAAATACTGCGTGGGAATAGACAAGGTGGAAAAGGACGGGAAATGTTCCAGGGAGGGGACACAGAAAACAAGAGGCCACAATTGAAGTTGAAGACACAAATGAGTCAGAGAGATAGTAGGAAGTATTTCTTCAGTCATAGAGTTGTAAGGCAGTGGAATAGCCTAGAAAATGACGTAGTGGAGGCAGGAACCATACACAGTTTTAAGACGAGGTTTGATAAAGCTCATGGAGCGGGGAGAGAGAGGGTCTAGTAGCAACCGGTGAAGAGGCGGGGCCAGGAGCTAGGACTCGACCCCTGCAACCACAAATAGGTGAGTACAAATAGGTGAGTACACTCACACACAGTCACTGCATAAAAGTGAGCCTCTTGGCATATCTGCAAGACTACTGGCGCACTTGCTACTAATCCATGCATTACCACACATACAAATACATATACACATCTCATCATATCCTACTTAAAATAAATACATCCTATTGCACCACCAGCTATAATAGCACACTGAGGTGATCAGCACACCACCACTAACCTAACAACACTGCTGACTTGACCAACTCACCACCACTGACCTGACTAACAGCCGAGTTATAGTCCCTGAGGAACATGACCTTGTTGCCAGAGGAGTCGGTGACCTTGGAGAGCCTGCCGAAGGAAGTGTTCTTCGAGTAGAGGAAAGAATAGAGGGTCCTGCCCGTCACCAGGTCGCGAGTTTCCACGTGGTGTCCGTGCCGATTGAACACGTACAGCTCGTTCGTACGGGGATATGCCACCTGTAGGGAAGCGGAGTCTTTACGTATTAGAACATGCCTAGATTACGTGATGCTTCATCTAGATTACAAGGTGCTGTTTACGTCTAGATCACATGATTTTTGTTTACATCTAGATTATGTAGTGTTCGACAATTTCTAGATCACACTATGTTTATATTTGTCTTGGATGATTTTTGTTTGCAAATGGACCACTTGGCTCCTCTCAACTATTAACCTTGTTCGTCCTATCCCTGGGATCTTGTTAACACCCATCCTCATCTCTGTGACCTTACTGTACTCTCTCCTCTTCCCGTGTGACATTGCCCAATCTCAGTCGTTGTCTCTAGGCATAAAACTGGTTTTTTCCCTCCTCGATTCTGTTAACCTCACCTGAAAGTCGCCGTTCTGGTCGTCGGGAGGGAGGTAATGGAAGAAGCTGAGGAGTTTCAGGGCCTTCTGATCAGCAACGTGGATGACGCTATCAGGTGACACGGTGATGGCCGACACTGACCCCAGCACCGTCGTTGTGGACAGAGGGATCTGTATGATGGAGAGTGAACAAGGGTGTGAAGTGAAATTTACCATCGCACCAATCCAGCAGGATACCAAACACTACAGTGAGAAGAAACAAATGTCTTAAACGAAAATGGATGTGAAGATGAAAGCTATTTTGTTCATAGATGAAAATGAAAAAAAAAATAAGGATGAATACACAAAGGGTGTACAACCAGGTACACAGCCACATGCACACATATAGCACAATCTGTTCTGCAATCTTCTCAGTAGAAGAAATGTCACGTCCTACGATACTGGTGAATTTGTTCTCCTGGGTGATATACATAAATTGCTGGAAGAATCAGTGAAGACAAACTTCATATACATGTTAGTGAGTCTTTTAAGGAGCATAAAACAAAGATGACATTAGATCAAATGCCAGACTGAGTGTGAAGGAAAAAATTTATGCTGCTGTACATATTTCTGAGTGAGGGTATGTATGACTGCGTGTGGGTCGTGAGGAAGCGTGAAGCAATTGTTCTGGGAACAGTGCTGTATAACCCTTGTGGGTTTAGCTCTTAGTTTTGATTATAATAATAATAATAATAATAATAATAATAATAATAATAATAATAATAATAATAATAATATTCTCAGGGAAGAGGGTAGGTGATGTGTGGTACTGACCAACGATTATAAATATTCGTGAGTATGTATTATTATTTTTGTTGTTATTAGTGGTGGTGTGTCTGTTATTTTTATCGATGTTATCTGCTTGATTTGTAACGTAAGACTATTTCAGTCGCCGGTCTTTTAAAGCTTTCAACTTACTGAGTGAGTGAATTACTTGTCCTGTTAGTAACCACTGTGTGCGCGTCTCTCTCACAGTTCGTGCATTTTGACTGGGTAAGAGGAACTACTCGGGATCACATGAACTATACGACTGTTTAAAAAAGTCGTGGACCTGTCTACACAACCCTTTACCAATATTTGTGGAAAGGTTACCACACATGTGTGAGTCTGAGTCATTCTGTGGGATATTTCTGTATTCATTCTTTACCTCCAAGACTCCCACGAGCCTGGTTCATTGCTTCATATCACGGTTCACTCTGGCCTGCGTGTTCAGCTACTCGACACTTAATCATAACATCAACGCGTCTAATTCTTCTACGCTGCAGTGATGACTGCTGTGCACCTCTCAATAAGTATTCTTGCTTTTTATACCTGTGGTGTCTGTTTATGTTGTGTCTAGTGGCGACCATCTTCTAATTCTATAAATTTATTATTCACGTAACCTTTGATCACTATGGATCAGAGTGTCTCTGCAATATCACCAGCGGAGTCATACCTGTTGCTGCTCTTCTGTATTTCCTGCCTCGCTTAGCTTTAATTAACTTCGTAATCGCTTTACCTTTTCCACTGTTTTGAATCAGTCAAGAATTACTTAATTTTTGTGTGTTTATCATCAGGTAAGTGTAAGTATTTTGTATTAGCTTTGATTCTCCACACTGTTTATATTTACGTGTTATTCGTATGTTCTTCCATCTATACTTTTCATACGAATTGTGATGGGCTCTCCGAAATACTGAGGAAGATCCATTCTTTGCAAGTCACACTGGGCAAAATTAACCACTGCCAGCAGCTACATGAACAGGGAATCACTGAAGACACTACACCACTTACGTTAAAACAGTCCTCGAATGTGCAGCACCTGCATGGAACTCACTAATAGACTCTTAAGAAAGTTTATGAACAGTCTACAGACTTTTCTCAGAGTTATGCTTTAAAAACTATGAGAATAGGCTAAAGGAATTGAATTTTGTTGTTAGAGCGATTGGTTAAGAGAGACATGATCACGACTTATAAAATACGCGAGGGCATGGTCATGAGAGACAAAAATACTGAATTTAACATGGGAGGGCTCAGGATGAGGGAACACAAATATAAGTGGGCCATACATACATACATACCATTATACATATAATATATATATATATATAAATATTATAAAATATATATATATATATATTTTATATATATATATATATATATATTTTATATACATATATATATATATATATATATATAATATTATATTATATATATATATATAATATATATATAATATATATAATATATATATAAAATATATACATATATATATATATATACATATATATATATATACATATATATATATATATATATATAAATATAATATATACATATATATATATACATATATATATATACATATATATATATAACATATATATATATACATATATATATATTTATATATATATAATAATATAAAATATATATATATTATATATATTATAATATTACATATGTCGTGCCGAATATGTAAAACTGGAAAAATTAGCAAGAACCATTTAAAATTAAGTCCTTTCTAAAACTTTCTCTTATACGTTTAAAGATATATTTTTCTCATTGATGTTAATGTAAAAAATTTAATTTGCACCAAAAGAATCTTAGAAAACTTACCCTAACCTTATTATAAAAAGAACAATTATTTTAGCCTAATCCAACTAAATATATTTAAATACTTTTACAGTATTTTTAAAAATAAACAAACACAATGAAAAAATATATTTTTTTTCGTTAGGTTTAGAATGATTTTGGCGAAATTATTGCATACACAAATTTTCGCTTGTCTTATATGGCAAGATGAGCGTGCTATTTAAGTCAAGAGGCAAGTTTCTGCCTATTCGGGACGACAATTATATTATATATATTATATATATTTTATATATTTTATATATATATAATATACCTAGGTAGTAGGTTGGTAGACAGCAACCACCCGGGAGGTACTACCGTCCCGCCAAGTGAGTGTAAAACAAAAGCCTGTAAATGTTTTTACATGATGGTAGGATTGCTGGTTTCCCTTTTTCCCGTCTCATAAACATGCAAGATTTCAGGTACATCTTGCTACTTCTACTTACACTTAGGTCACACTACACATACAATGTACAAGCATATATATATACACACCCCTCTGGGTTTTCTTCTATTTTCTTACTAGTTTTTTGTTTATTTCCTTTATCTCCATGGGGAAGTGGAACAGAATTCTTCCTCCGTAAGTCATGCGTGTTTTAAGAGGGGACTAAATACCGGGAGCAAGGGGCTAGTAACCCCCTTTTCCTGTATATGTTATAAATGTGAAAGGAGAAACTTTTGTTTTTCTTTTTGGACCACCCTGCCCCCGGTGGGATACGGCCGGTGTTGTTGGGAAAAAATATATATATATAATATATATATATATATTAAAATATTATATATATATATATTATATATATATATATATATCATAGATAATAGTGGAATATTAAAAATAATCGAGGGTGATTCCTTAATTTCTATCAGATACCCGTGCAGCAAAAATATACACACCTTGTCTTCAGCAGGACAGGTGCAGTCATCGTCAACACAGCCGCAGTCTGGCTTGGCCCCAGCAAAGTTCCTGAGGTGACCTGAAGGTGTGAGTTCGAGCACAGCGTGACGCTTGTGAGAGTCTTCCTCTGTCAGGAAGAGAGAGCCTGACGGCGCAAACGACAGCCCAGTGATGGTTCCTGTTGGGAAGAGAGAGAGATTGAAATAGCAGAGCTCTTCCTTGATTCATGGCAGGGAGAGGGAAGAGCTCTTTGATGGTTCAGCTGGGAGTAAGGGGAGCCTGGGATGGGACTGTTCTTTGATAGTTCAGGTGAGATGATGGGAAATAATAGTTCCTGAAGCAAGAAGGGGAGAAGAGTGGGGTGTTAATTATTTACTTAGTATTTTGCTTTTCGAAAGCTGTAAGACAGTGGGAGTGTATGGTAGTTTGTTGGTTCCTACCTGGGAGAGAGTGGGAGTGTATGGTACTTTGTTAGTTTCTACCAGGGAGAGAGTGGGAGTGTATGGTACTTTGTTGGTTTCTACCGGGGAGAGAGTGGGAGTGTATAGTACTTTGTTGGTTTCTACCAGGGAGAGAGTGGGAGCGTATGGTACTTTGTTGGTTTCTACCGGGGAGAGAAGGGGGGAGTGTAAGGGACTTGTTAGTTTCCCCCTGGGAGAGAGTGGGAGTGTATGGTACTTTGTTGGTTTCTACCTGGGAGAGCGTGGGAGTGTATGGTACTTTGTTAGTTTCTACCTGGGAGAGAGTGGGAGTGTATGGTACTTTGTTAGTTTCTACCGGGGAGAGAGTTGGAGTGTATGGTACTTTGCTGATTCCAACCGGGAGAGAGGTTAGGCGGATGTTTGTTCGTTAAATTCATGTTAAGCGTTAAAACCCATGTGGGTTATGCAGCGCAAGACGTGGTGGAGGCTTGATCCTCCGTCTGCTGAGCGCCAGACAGACGCGCTTCCTATTTGTACTTACGTCGCCCGTGTAGGGGTAGAGTACATGGACCCAAATGGAACTAAGTCACTTCGTCTGATTTTTTGGAGGTTATTTTATGTAATCTACACATGTGTTACTATGTATGATAATTGTAATCGTGTAAATTTGCGTAACTGTTCTTATGTATACCTGTACCTAAATAAATTTACTTCGTAGGAGGGCTTAGGAGGATAGTACTTTGTTATTGGTGGGGAGAAGGTGAGAGTGCCTATGTAGTTACTGCTTTGTTACTGGTGGGAAGTCAAGGGAAGACATAAGGAGTTAACTGTTTGTTAACTCCTTATGAGGGGTGAGGGGAGAGAATGGGAGGGAATAGTGTTTTTGTTGTGTTCTCGTAGAGAGGATAGACAATAGGAGGGGTAGCTTGTGTCCTCATTAAAAGGGGAGTGGGAGGGACGGCTCTGTTCTCACGAAGAGAGGAAAGAGAGAGAGGAGAGGGAGACGTGACTAGGTAAGCTGTGTAATAAGGAATTGTGAATGTTGTTAGGGAGGAAAAGAAAGCCAGGAGGGTGTGTGTGTTGAAGGAATAGAAAAATAAAGTAGGGAGAGTGTAGAGTGAAGGGTGAGAGTATGAGGTGAAGAGGGCATGACAGGAGAGAAGCCATGTAGTGTGAGGAGGATGTGCTTATAACTAATCAAGTTTTCCAAATATTTCTCACATAAGAGACATCTCCTGGCAAGAGAAAGAACCAGGAGTGAAAGAACTCCGACCAACCCTTGATTTATTCATGAACAAGTACTGTCCTTAAATGACTTGAAAAGTCTGCGTATGACTCACCAACAGCTGGCTTATCCTGTGTGGCTGGACAGTGCAAGGGAGTGCCCGCCTTGACGCGGACAGTACCATCGGCAGTGACCTGCAATACTACGTGGTCGTCGAGGATGTGAAGGGAGCCGTCGAGGGGGGAGAGAGCAAGACCTGTGGGCCACTGCAGCTCCACCTGGGCAGCTGGCAGTCCTCCGGTGCAGGGGAGTGGTCTCCAACGGGTCTTGTGTCCATGGTGGCCGATCAGGGTGTGGATGACGCCTTGAGGGTCCACCATGCGGATGTTGGTGCCATCAGCGATGTACATGGTGCGGTCTGCTGCAATGGCCAGGCCTTTGGGGTGTGCGAGGCGGGCCTTGCGGGCAGGTCCTCGGTCCCCGCAGTGCCGCTCGTCCCCTGCGCCAAAGGAGACAGTGTCAAGGGAGCATTGGAACTCGCTTATATTATATGATTGTAAACTGAATCTTTTAAACACTTGAAAACTAATAAAATTTGGAGCTTACTATCAGAAAATGGCCTGACGAATTATTTTAGGCACTGCTTACTAAAAATATACATTTGAAGTATTATCTTTTGCAAAATATTTTTGATATTATTATTATTACTATTATACTGACAACTTCTATATCATTACTTATACATGCAATGTTGCCCTAATATATAATACAACAATAGATAAGCAAAATCACGCAAATTACGTTTTGTTCGTAAATGGAAGGCGAAATACCTGAAAAGATGATGAGAGGAGGAGGAGAATTATAAGAAAGAGAAGCGTAATAATTAGGAGTAGAAAGGCTTACTTAGAAGAAAGGGAGGTAAGCACAAGGAGAGAGAAGAGAATGAAAGCAACAGAAACCAGGAAGATGGCGACAAAGGAAAGCAAGAGGAAGAGGAGGAGGAGGAGGACAGAAGGCAACAAGGATTCAAAGGAAGAGGAGAAATGAAGGAGATAGCAGATAGAGAATTGGAGGAGGTTACCGAGAGACAAACCACCAGCCAGGGTACAGCTGGCGAGTGACTCACCTGGGATGCATCGCTCGCCGTTACCAGCGACGGTCTCCGAGTTTGTACTGGGTTCAGTGACGTCGGTGAGGGAGAGGACCCGCACAACCTTATATTTCTCTGGGTCGCTAACGTAAACCTGACCGTCAGCTGGAGACACGGCAATGTGGTACCCATAGGACACCTGCGTCGCACTGTAGAGAGAGAAAAAAAAGTTTAGCCATGATAGTGCAGCATTAAATGTATCAAGAAGGTTACCTGACGAAGGTGACACGCGGTTTAATACTCTGGCAAAATCTACCGTAGTCTGGTTGGCACACTAGACAAAATAACAAAATTACTGGGAGCGGGTGAGAGGCCTTCACTTTGAGCCGGGAGTTGGGGGACAAAACCTCACATGAGCAGGGAGCAAAAGGAAGAGATTCTCACTTTAGCTGAGAGTGAGAGAACCGAGTCCTTCACCTGTGCTAGTGCTGGTGGAAAGAGAGGCTCTCACCTGAAGAAGTCCTTCACCCGAACTGAAAGTTGGAGAGAGTTTCTATCACCTGAGCTTGAAGATCCTCACCTGAGCTGTAGGAGAGTGTAGACCATGCCGTCCGGAGTGACCCTGCGCAGAAGGTTGAAGTCTCCCACATAGACGGATCCGTCGGGGCCGGCGGCGAGGCTGGTAGGGGTAAGGAGCTGAGCGTCTCGGGCGAGGCCGGAACAATGGCGACACACAACCTGCCGCTGCGACCCCGTCCCCATCAGCGGTGACACCAGCCGCGGCGCCTCTCGCAGGCTCATCGTCGACCCGTCACCACGCTGCAGCAGACCTGGGCAGGTGGAAACCGGGGCTCTTTTAGTAACTGTTTAGAGACTCGAGGAAGGGAAGAGGTCTTCCAGGTGATTACATGTGTGTAAATAACAATAAAGGCACAATACCGTGACTGGAACGATACACAAATAACCCGCACATAAAAGAGAGAAGCTTACGACTTTGTCAATGGTCCAAGTCGGACCGAAACGTCGTCGTAAGCTTCTCTCTTTTATGTGCGGGTTATCTGTGTATTACATGTGTGTGTGCGGGTTTGTACGACGCAGACTGGCACTGGGTGCCATAACTGTGAATTGACGTATACAAGAGAAATTAACGGTGATAAAGCGGAAAGAGATGGAAGCTACTGAAAGGAGGACTGGAGGAACAAGTGTAAAATAGAATAAACTGAGAAAGAAAGATGTGGAATTAAGGAACCATAAAGATAATGAGCATGAGAGTATGTGGTGGTAAAGGAAGAAAAAGAAGGAGCTAGAGAAGAGGGGGCGAAACAGAATGGATTGGTAAAGGAAGTGGCAGTAGAAAAACAGGAGCAGCTAGGAAGATATGAAACAGAAACCGATGAAAAACTAGTGACAGATAAAAAAAAAGTATACATACATAAATCTACGTGCATTTCCTCATTACCCAGAAACACCAAAAACTGGTTTAAACAAAGTCAGTGATGCATTAAAAGAGAGACGACTGGGAAGTGGACTAACCGGCTTCGAAATTGTACATGTGGTGGATGTCGAGGTTCCAGCCTCCCACGTCGGAAATGTCCATGTGGAATCCATGCAGGGTGGCCGTGAGTGTCTCCCACAGCACACTGGTGCACGTCACATACTCGTAACCCACAGATACAAGCGCCGTTGCTTCACCATATACCTGTGGGCAGGAGAGTCAGGTGTGATTATAAGGGTGATGGGAGCAGGAGGCAGGTACAGGTGGTGTGAAGAGGGTGTGGGATAATTGTGAGAAGGAAAAACAAGTGTGGGATGTTTGGGAGGGAGAGTTATGACAGGGTGTGGACAGGGAGGTATGGAGGAGTCATGGTTCGGATGAGAGAGCAAGGGTAGTGAAGTATAGAATTTGTGGAGGAACAAGCAGTTTGAAATAGCAGCAATACCTATATCATTTAATCCAGGTGACATAGTAATGGCCCAGTGCCCTGTTCTAGGTCATACCTCACAAGTCAGATACGATGGGCATTCAGTTGTTTAGAAAAAGGCGAATGAGAACAAGTGTGTAAATAACTCTGGCATATATTTAAGAAATACCCAATATATCACAAGAACTGAGGCATCCATCAAACATTTAAGCCTCACCTTCTGCTTGTACACATTCCTCTTGTTCCAGGTGAAGGTATAGGTGATGTTGGGGTCAGCCTCGAACACCTTCTCGAACACGGAACCTTCGAGTGTCACCTGAAGGAGAGGGAGAGGGTAAGAAAAGTGGAAAAAACATGAGGTTACTAGGCAAAACAAAATTAAAAAATATCAAATAAGGGCAGACGAGAGCTAGCAAAAATCTTTCCATTAAAGTCCCTTCCCTTTTCTGTATGATTCAATAATTTAAATCTCTCTTCAGTGTGTGTATTGTAAAGTAATAAAACTTGTATTTAATTACGATATAGCCCAAGGAAATATCTCAAGGAATCTACTTTGAGATGACTCTTAGAGAAACTTCCCTTGAGAAAACTCGTAGAGAAACCTAGACTGAGAAGACTCATAAAGGAACCTACCTTGAGCTGGCTCACAGAGGAACCTACCTTGAGAAAACTCATAGAGGAACCTACCTTGAGCTGGCTCACAGAGGAACCTACCTTGAGAAAACTCAGAGAGACCTACCTTGAGAAAACTCAGAGAGACCTACCTTAAGAAAACTCATATAGGAAAACTCACAGAGGAATCCTCCTTGAGAAAACTCATAGAGGAATCTACTTTGAGTAGAACCATGGAGGAGGAACGTACCTTGAGTAGAACCATGGAGGAGGAACGTACCTTGAGTAGAACATGGAGGAGGAACCACCACAAAGAGAATCGTGAAGGGAGAACCAGCCTTGAGAAGGATTATGAGTCTTGAGAAGGTTCGCATAGGAACCTACCGTAAGAGACACAGTCTAGTAGGAAAAGCACCATGGAAGAATCTACCTATAAAAAAATACCCTGGAGGAGAAACCTACCTTGAGGTGCACCATGGAGAGTGAAGCAGGCACCTCCATGGGTGTAAGCTGCAGCAGCAGTGTGGAGAGGTAGCCGGCCACACTGCTGGAGTGGTACACTAGGTGAAGATCACTGCCAGGTACACGTAGAGACTCTTGTACCACCTGTACCACAGGGGGGGGGAGAAAGAGAGGTGAAGAGTGTGTGTACGAATACACAGAAAATCTTGGCCAATAACTAAGCACTTTATAACATTAATGGTAAAAGAGATAAAGAATACGTCATAATACTGAGGCAGGATTAATTTACAACTAACTCACACCTGGGAGTGAATTATTATTATTATTATTAGAAGCTCTAAACCCGTTAGAGTGATTCATCGTATGTAGTGGTGGAGACTCGATCCTCTGTACCTTGAAAGGGGAAACGTAAGACGAAGTTTCGGTCCCTAGTGAATCATTATCAAGTCTATTAATTCGAATTTCCTGTCTATTGGCAGATGAAGGATCGAATCTACACCACTCCTTGCGCCGAACGACCCATTCGGGTTTAGCTCTTTCTACATACTAATAATCCTAATTCACTGAGCGAGGAATATGTTGTGGTTGTTTCTCTTTTTTTGAAGCTGTCAGTGGCAGCTGTCTTACATTCTGAATCCCCACGAACCACACGCCAGTGTTTTTATGGGACTAAGCGCTCCCTTAAAGCAACACATCGAAGAAAATGGGGGAAAAAATAACGGCGAAGTCACTAGCGAAGGAAAGGAGATACCTGGTTACCTGGAAGTTATTCCGGGGATCAACGCCCCCGCGGCCCGGTCCATGACCAGGCCTCCCGATGGATCAGGGCCTGATCAACTAGGCTGTTACTTCTGGCCACACGCAGTCCAACGTACGAGCCACAGCCCGGCTGATCCGGCACTGACTTTAGGTATCTGTCCAGCTCTCTCTTGAAGGCAGCCAGGGGTTTATTGGTAATTCCCCTAATGCTTGATGGGAGGCTGTTGAACAGTTTTGGGCCCCGGACACTTATGGTGTTTTCTCTTAGTGTACCAATGGCGCCCCTACTTTTTATTGGCGGCATTTTGCATCGCCTGCCCAGTCTTTTACTTTCGCAGGGAGTGATTTCTGTGTATAACGATGTCAAGAGCTTGTCTGGACATCTTGCTGGTGTGTAATAACACTGAAGCATCATAAAATCCTGTGATATTGTGTTATAACATTGATCCATCATCATATCCTGAACTGTCCCGAGGCGTCAAAACATCTCTACAATCCTGAATTTCTTCAAATCAATATTAAGATCATAAATTAGAATAAAAAATAAATCTAAATAAGCAGAGTGTACTAGTGCATACACTAATGGGATAAACGACCTGTTGGCACTCGAGGTTAAAAGCTGGAAAGCAGAAGAGGATGGCGAGGAGGAGCTAGAGGAGAGGATGAGAAGTGTAGGAGAGGGTGAGAAGTGGAGGACAGGACGAGTGGGAGGGTGAAAAATACTCTGAGGGCGGGGGATGAGGAAGCAAGGAACGGAGATGAAGAGAAGTGAGAAAAAAGCGATGGAGCTAGGGATGAGGGAGGGGTGTAAAGATAAGGATGATGCTTAGAGGAGAGAGTGATGCTTAGAGGAGAAAGTGAGACTCGGAGGAGAAAATTGAGGTTTTAAAGAAAAACGGAATTGATATAAGATAATTCTCAACTTCGAAAAGAAAATTCAGAGAAAAACACGGGAAAAGGCAAAGGAAACACCTAGAAATAGGAGAAATCTAAAGGAAAATGCAGAGAGTTGAAAAAAGAGAGCGGTAAAAGAAGAGAGGATAAAATGGGGTAGAAAAGGCAGGATGGGGTAAGGAGAAAAGAGAAAAGGAGGAAAAAGGGAGATAATGAGGGAGCAAGATGAAAGTCAGAGATAAAGAGTACCAAGGAATCACAGAGGAGTCCTCTAGGTAAAAGAGAGAGGGACACTTGCTTCAGCTGTGAAAGGCCGCATTGACCGCTGGTGGAGAAAGGCAGGCGGGCAGTCGAGGGGTTTGGCCCTCCAGAGGCTCAATCTGCAGCCCTCGTCTCCCCTCACTCCCCTCGGGGAGGAGTGCCACGGGAGCATATGAGGGGCTCAAAAGGGACAACTACAAACAGAGGCGCGTAAGGTCACCCCCCAGAGAATGTTGGTCAAGGGTGAGTACACAACCACCCAGGAATGGTGGCCACAGGGAAATGAGTAAATGATTAAGGAGATGAATAACGAGTCGCAGATTGATGCCGTTGTTCAGGAAAGAAATGAGTCATGAGTCACGGGAAATGAATGGTATCCTCCGGGAGGAATGAGTCACAAAGAATGACTGGTATCCTACCTGCAGTCTACCTGGAGGTTATTCCGGGGATCAACGTCCCCGCGATCCGGTCCACGACCAGGCCTCCGGTGGATCAGGGCCTGATCAACCAGGCTGTTACTACTGGCCGCACGTAGTCCAACGTACGAGCCACAGCCCGGCTGATCCGGCACTGATTTTAGGTATCTGTCCAGTTCCCTCTTGAAGGCAGCCAGGGGTTTATTGATAATTCCTCTTATACGTGCTAAAGGAATAACTGGGAAAGTGGGGAGATGGATCTTCAACTTCCTAACAAATCGAACACAAAGAGTAGTGGTCAACAGAGTTAAATCGGAGGCTGCCATAGTGAAGAGCTCTGTTCCACAAGGCACAGTACTCGCCCCCATCTTATTCCTTATCCTCATATCAGACATAAACAGAGATATACATCACAGCACCGTATCATCCTTTGCGGATGATACTAGGATCTGCATGAGGCTGTCATCTGCTGAGGACGCGGTTAACCTCCAAGAAGATATAAACAAAGTTTTCCAGTGGGCAACGGTAAACAATATGATGTTCAATGAGGACAAATTCCAACTACTCCGTTATGGAAAACTGGAGGAGATAATAACTAGAACAGAGTATACTACTGACTCGGCCATACAATAGAGCGGAAAAATAATGTAAGGGACCTGGGAGTAGTAATGTCTGAGGATCTCACTTTCAAGGATCACAACAGTGCCACGATCGCACGTGCAAAGAAAATGATAGGATGGATAATGAGAACTTTCAAAACGAGAGATGCCAAGCCCATGATGATCCTTTTCAAATCACTTGTTCTCTCTAGGCTGGAATACTGCTGTACATTAACATCTCCATACAAAGCAGGTGAAATCGCAGATCTAGAGAGTGTACAGAGATCCTTTACTGCACGTATAAGTTCTGTCAAACACCTTAACTATGGGAACGCTTGGAAGCACTTGACTTGTACTCGTTGGAACGCAGGAGGGAGAGATATATCATAATCTACACTTGGAAAATCTTGGAAGGAATGGTCCCAAATCTGCACACAGAAATCACTCCCTACGAAAGTAAAAGACTGGGCAGGCGATGCAAAATGCCGCCAATAAAAAGTAGGAGCGCCATTGGTACACTAAGAGAAAACACCATAATTGTCCGGGGCCCAAAACTGTTCAACAGCCTCCCATCAAGCATTAGGGGAATTGCCAATAAACCCCTGGCTGCCTTCAAGAGAGAGCTGGACAGATACCTAAAGTCAGTGCCGGATCAGCCGGGCTGTGGCTAGTACGTCGGACTGCGTGCGGCCAGCAGTAACAGCCTAGTTGATCAGGCCCTGATCCATCGGGAGGCCTGGTCATGGACTGGGCCGCGGGGGCGTTGATCCCCGGAATAACCTCCAGGTAACCTCCAGGTATGCTTGGTGGGAGGCTGTTGAACAGTCTTGGGCCCTGGACACTTATGGTGTTTTCTCTTAGTGTACCAATGGCGCCCCTACTTTTAATTGGGATATTTTGCATCGCCTGCCCAGTCTTTTACTTTCGTAGGGAGTGATTTGTGTGTGCAGATTTGGGACCATTCCTTCCAGGATTTTCCAAGTGTAGATTATGATATATCTCTCTCTCCTGCGTTCCAACGAGTACAAGTCAAGTGCTTCCAAGCGTTCCTATGGGAGGAATGAGTCATGAGTCAAGGGGAATGAGTCATGAGCGAATGGTATCCTCCGGGAGGAATGAGTCATGAGTCACGGGGAATGAGTCATGAGTCACAGGGAATGAATGGTATCCCCCGGGAGGAATGAGTCATGAGTCGCGGGGAATGAATATTCCCCGGGAGGAATGAGTCACGGGGAATGAATGGTATCCCCCGGGAGGAATGAGTCACGAAGAATGACCGGTATCCTCCGGGAGGAATTAATCATGAGTCACGGGAAATAAATGGCATACCCGGGAGGAATGAGTCATGAGTCACGGGAAATTAATGGTATCCCACGATAGGAATGAGTCATGAGCCACGAGGAATGAATGGTATCCCCCGGGAGGAATGAGTCATAAATCACGGGGAATGAATGGTACCCCCCAGGAGGAATGAGTCATGAGTCGCGGGGAATGAATGGTATTCTCCGGGAGGAATAAGTCACGACGAATGACTGGTATCCTCCGGGAGGAATGAATCATGAGTCACGGGGAATTAATGGTATCCCGAGATAGGAACGAATCATGAGTCAAGGGGAATGAATGGTATCCCTCGGGAGGAATGAGTCATGAGTCACGAGGAATCAATGGCATCCCCCGGAAGAAATGAGTCATGAGTCACGGGGAATTAATGGTATCCCGAGATAGGAACGAATCATGAGTCAAGGGGAATGAATGGTATCCCACGATAGGAATGAGTCATGAGTCACGGAGAATGAATGGTATCCCCCCGGAGGAATGAGTCATTAGTCAAGGGAAATGAGTCATGAGTCACAGGGAATGAATGGTAACCCCTGGAGGAATGAGTCATGAGTCACGGGGAATGAATGGTACTCCCGGGAGGAATGAGTCATGAGTTAAGGGGAATGAGTCATGAGTCACAGGGAACCAATGGTATCCCCCGGGAGGAATGAGTCATGAGTCGCGGGGAATGAATATTCCCCTAGAGGAATAAGTCACGGGGAATGAATGGTATCCCCCGGGAGGAATGAGTCACGAAGAATGACCGGTATTCTCCGGGAAGAATGAATCATGAGTCACCGGGAATGAATGGTATCCCCCGAGAGGAATGAGTCATGAATAACGGGAAATGAATGGTATCCCCCTAGAGGAATGAGTCATGAGTCACAGGGAATGA